CTATATGAAGAAGGGCGTAGCATCAGGCTGGGAGGAAGACTCATTAATCGCCTGCGTCAATCAGATGACATGAACTTGTCTGCCTAAAGTGAAGAGGATTTGAAGGAACTTCAGTCTTCAACATCAGGAAATAAAAATGCTCACCACTCGGTCAGGAGGCAACATCATGAGAGAAGGACAAGATTGACGTTGTCAATGATACTATTCTACTTTAATTCATAGTTAACACCCATGGTAATAGCAGTTGAGAAATCAAAAGATGTGTTGTGTGGGAAAATCTGCTGTCAGATTTTCTCTCCAAAGTCCTAAAGAGCAGGGTTATCAAAGACAAAGGTACTCCTTATCCAAGCCATGGTATTTTCAGTTGCTTCCTGAGCATCTGAGAGTTGGATGGTGAATAAAGATGACAGGAGAAGAGTTGATGCTTTTGAATTGAACTCTTGGTGAAGAGCATGGAACATCCTGTAGACTGCCAACAAGTCCGTTTTGAAGGAAGTGCCACCAAGATGCTCCTTGGACACTTTGTTTCACATACTTCTGACATGTTGTCAAAAGGGGCCAGTCCTTGGAAGAAGACCTCATCCTTGGAAAGGAGGAATGTCAGAGAAAGAGAGACCCTCTATCAGATGGACAGACACTGACTGTAACAGCGGGCTCAAGCATGTGGAAGATTGTGAGGGAAGTTCAGGACAGGGCAAGATTCAGACCTGTTGTTCTCATGGTCACCTTGAACTTGAAGGCACCCAACACCAACAACCAAGTATAAGAGAATGATTTTTTCTGTTGTTGAAGCTATCCATTGATGGTATTACTGGCGGAGCAACACTAAGTAACTCAGACACTGTCATCTGTGCCACTGAATTGTTGAATGTTTTCCTGTGTATATATTCTTAATGACAGCAAGAAAGTAAGTTAGAATGAAGTGAACAAAAAAAGATTACCGCCCCGAAAACTCTTTGGGGCCTTTTTATTCTTGACACATGGGGTCACCACACATGAGGGGCCGACTAGCTGGCAACCACCAGCAACTCTCCCGACCACCTGCCAGTACCCCTCCCCATGTGGTGACTGCCAAGCCCACCCACTTCCATTTCTACATGTCCCTCTACAAAGCCATTGTGTTGGACAGTAGCATCTCCACAAATACTACTGAGTTCTTCTTTTCAAAAAGCAGATGAATGGATTTGTTCTCCAAGCACGTACCTCTTGTAATAGAGCAGAAGATTCTCTAAGCCTATTTCATGTTTTTATTTTCTAGGATTTCCATCATTTCTTATGCTTGTGAAATAACAAGGATTTATCATATACTGTGTCATTGGAACAGTTCTTTTTGTTGACTTAAAATCAAATATATTCTCTGTAGCTAATGGGTTCATTATAGTCACGTTTTTAAAAAAAAATTTATTTATTTATTTATTTATTTTTACAGAGGTTTTGGATTTCCATTCATTGATTGCCGCAATTTTCTCCCTGCCCACCCCTCCCCACCAGCTCGCTTCCCCCTCCGAAGAGAGAAAAAAGAAAAAGAAAAAGAAAAAAAATTCCTTCATTAGTATACAATTCCCACGTCCCTTCCCCCC